AAATAAAATTTGTCTTTACACTACAAATAAAAATGCTTCGGTCACCACTTTGTGCATTATCCTCCCATGACATATGACATATCATTAAAATTACATTTTATTGATTACCAGAAAGCAACCAATATGTATTTAATATTTTAATAACCAAAATAATTATATCTTCCTACTCTCTAACTCGATTATGCCAATTAATATACTCCAAAAACTTATGCGATAAGTTTTGCAAACAAAAAAAAAACAAAAATTATGCGATGATGTAAAATTGTGCAATAGTGGGCAAGAAGAGGTGTGGGGGTTTGACTAGTTTGACCAAAAGCGCGTGGTATAGACGCGAGAGTAGGATACCACGTCATTATATCCACAGAAAATAAATAAATTAGAAACTCTCTTGCAACAGTGGGGACCATGTATCCACCAATCAGGTTCTTCCTCTCCCGAAGTTCGTCTTCCGCAAAAATCATTTAAAGCGTTGACAATTAAAAAAAAAAAAAAAGAATTAAACCATTTTTCACGAAGGATAGGACTCAATATTTATAAATTGATCTAAAGTTTTTACTCATGATTTTCATTCGGTTTTAGTTTATCATAAACAAAACGGGAGGAAGAATCAGCCTGAGAATATTCTTCATTTATCTATATATGTATAAAGAGGCAAATGGTATAATATCATATATGGATAAGTTTCATTTATCTATCTTTTCAAGATTGAGGTCGATCGAACCTTCACAAGACCAGCACACATATATTCGAGACTATGCACTTTTTCTTTTTTTGGGTCACAATTTGAGACTATGCACCTTAACATTGAGTCTTTAATTAGCATATGAGATGTCTCCAATTTCCACACTTAATTTCCCAAAACAACTTCTGTCTCTTTTTTACATATTCAGATTCTTTCTTCATTTAGAGACATGGCATGAATTTCTCTTTATAACGAGACTAATCTCTCCCTTTCTATGTGTGTTGATTTTTGTTTGTAGACCATAAAAGAAAATCAATTATGTTATAGTTCTAACACATGTACTATTACTTTGTTTGTCTTCTTGTATCATTTGAAATACATGTTTCTTTAGTGCAAGCTAGTAAATGAGTAACCTGTTGCGTTTCTCTTCTTGCGTCCGTACAAGATTCAAAGGCAACCTTTTAGTCAAAACCCTAAAACGTACACAAGACCAAGGGTAAAATAAAGTAACTCAAAAAGAAGAAAGGGATGGATGGACCAATAGCATTCTTAGGCGAGGATTGTCCTTTCTCTTTACTTCTCATCAACAGCTCTTAACATTCATCAGTTTCTTAC